TGCTATTCCCATCATTGCCATCTAAAATTCTGCACCCTGCCAAAAAAGCCTAAAGCCGGTGCTATGGTGATGGATTTAGTCTTCTATTAAAGAATCTGTCCCTAAAGAACAAAAGTATATGGGTTAAAAAAAAAACAAGTTCTGACCTGAAACACAAGTTTACATAACTCTTATTCCTACAATGTCTTTCCCAGTGACAATATGTCCACATAAAATTTAGAAATCAAAGCATGCCAATCCTTCCATAATGTTTAGCTTTTTGATTTTTTAAATGATAATAGATGGAAAGGAATATTGTGCATTGAGAGTTTATTTATTAACTTTCTTTCCTTCAAGAAATTTCAATCTGCAAACTGTTAAAAGTAATAAACCCTGTCTTTCTGAAGAATTCAGTTCCGTAATTTAATCATGCCTACAAGCATAAAAGACACAGACAAATAATTATGTTCATCTCATTCAAGTGTGAAATCACCAGCACAGCCTGAAATTTAATTTGAGCAAACTTCTGATGCTTGGTCCAGTTTTGGACAACTACAATTTCACTTATCACTTATCTACAAACAGCATTTAATTAAGTGTCCCAGAATCAGAAAGTTTACATGCTTCTCTGCTCTCTAATGTAATGTTGCCTTGTCTCTTTACCAAATCACAAGATAAATAACATTCTAGGACTTCTACCAGGCAAGCATCTAATAGTTATGTATATTTATAAAATATAAGTATATATTCAAGCATTTCTATTAGTTAATGTTATGGAAATAGATGTATGTAAGAGTAGCCTTATTGGATCAGGCCAAACTTAGTACAGTATTTTATGTCTCATAAGAGATAAAAAAAAATAACTCTGGGATTTTCATGAAAAGGAGATAGTGATATATCTCTCAATTTTCCCCTTATGCACAGTATTAGAGATAGGCTGTACTGAAGAATGTCTGCAGAAATTGGGTACTGTATGTCTAGCCTAGTGAAAAGAAGGACTAGAGGTGACATGAGAGGAGTGTTCCAATATTTCAGGGACTGCCACAAAGAAGAGAGGGTCAACCTATTTTCTAAAGCATCAGAAGACAAGACAAGAAGCAATGGATAGAAACTAATAAAAGGCAGAACCAACCTAGAACTAAGGAGAAATTTCCTGACATTGAGAACAATTAACCAAAAGAATGACTTGCTTCCAGAAGTTGTAGGTGCTCCATCACTGGAGGCTTTTAAGAATAGACTGGACAGACACTTGTCTGGATTGGTATAGGTCTCCTGCTTGAGCAGGGGTTTGGACTAGAAGACCTCCAACTGATATCAGAGCTAACATTTAAATCTTGAGATTAAGATGATTTTGACAGACCTGTCCTCAATAAATGTGTTTGACTCATTTAAAGTAATCAAGGTTACTGATAATCACAATGCCCTGTGATCCTGAATTCCATAGATTGTTAGTTGTAGGGAGAACTAACCAAGGAACTTCCTTGGATGATACATGGTCCTACAATTTTGAGTAAAGCAGAAAAACATCTCCTTATGCACATTCTCCATAATATTATATCCCTTGATCTTGTCCTCATCCAACTACCTTTTCTTCTAAGATAAATAATAATGCCAAATGTTCTAGTTTTTTTCCTCATAAAGTCAATATTTAAGCCCCTGATCATTTTGATAATTTTAGTAGGTCTCTTCTTTACTTTTTCAGAATTACTCTATCCTTCTCATAGTACTTCTCATAGTAGATATACCACAGATTTGTATGAGAACTTTACAAAGCAGTTTTATTGCCACTTCCTTTCCTAATGATCCCTGGCATGGAATTTGCTTCTTTCATGGCTGTCACACACTGTACCAACATGTTCATTAAACTTTCTATTATCTCAGTCTTTTTCCAGATTAGTTATATACAGCTCAGTCTTCCTTTCCCTCCCCCTGCAATGTGTATCACTTTATGCAAATAGTCACTGAAGTGGAAAAACAAACAAATATTCAAAAATACTATTTTAAACAGCCATTAAAATATACAGCAGTTTCTTTGTGGGATTTCTATTGCTACAAATTCTGAATGACTGCTATATATAGAAAAAAAAATTAAAACTTACAAAAAGGAAGATTTTAGTTTGAATATTAGGGGAAACTTCCTGTGGAAACTGTATAATCCTTGGTTGGGGAATTTTCTCACATTAGTATCTCAAGAAGTGTTTGGATTGCAGCTCCCAGAATTTATAACCAGCAGAGTCAGTGGCTACATGAGATGATCATTCTAAGAATTATACTAACACATCTGGAAAGCACCAGTTTGCCAGGGGAAGAGATCCCACATATGCACCTGCAAAACTGTTCTTTAACTTTTTTTAAAAAAAAATGTTTCTGGCTGTTCCTGCTTAACTTCAGAGTTCTCAGAAATTATTGCTGCTATCTTAAATTATTGCTAATTATCTTAAATTATATGCCACCCATCTCCCTGTGATATTTGAGAGATTGCTGTGTGGTAGAATCAGAAAACAGAATTTATGATCCACTTTTTAACCATTGAAATTCACTGGATGACTCCGGGCACAAATTCTCAGCCCAACCTACTTCGCAGAACTGTTGTGAGGACATATGGGAGGAGAATCCTCAATGTATGCAACCATGAGTCTGAAAGATAAATAATCAAGTAGTTTTATCCCCAACGGAATCTATGAAAAAGTTCTTCTACTTGTCTTGATCAAGTTCTCCTTTCCTCTGCTCTTTTTAAAATGTGCTCAAATGCAATAATTTAAAAACTATAATTTTTGCCTGATTTCTATCATTATAGAATAGAATAATAGAAAAGAATGACAAACATAGTTATTCATTAAGGCCATCTTCTCACCGGTCTAATTAAATTATTTAAATCCTAGATAGAGACATGTTACACCATGACTCTAAGTAATACTCCAGGTTTCATATCGGTACACATGCAAGAGTAGTTGTATAACATTCTTTAGAAAATGATACCATTGGAATCTGCTCTTAATGCTTCTTAATGATACCATTGGAATCTGCTCTTGGACACTCACCAAAGTTAGGCTTCTGCATCTTCCTAAGTAGCAATATTTCCATGGTGTTTTCTTCTAGTGGTCAAGAGTATAATAGATTAAATATTTTCGTTTTCTCTCACATGGACTCAAAGTCAGGTGGACAATCCCAAACACAAACTTTTATAAAGCGAATTCAGATGAAATTGATGTGATTTATTCCCAACAAATAGGTTCAGTATGGACCCTTTATATTATCATCACTACTTTGTTGAACCCACTAGAAGGTTACAATAAAGACACTGAAGACCCAGATTTAGCCCTGCCTGCTGGCAATGTAAAGTCTGAATGATTCTTGCTTAGTAACTGCTGTAGGAAAAAAAAAATGGCTAGTAGATTGAGAAGGGGATAAAGACAAACCTTATTTTGTTCTGACAGAACTTTTGCAAGAAATTGAATTGTTTCATCCTTAGTAAAGCAAATGCTATTTAATGGAATGCTATCGCAAAAAAGATTGTATATATTTTATGGGAGTGCTAAGGGCAGCAGGTTAAGGAAAGTGAGCAACGTTCTTATGGATGTTTACTTCAATGGAAGATAAATGTCTGGCTGAATGAATTTTCCCTCTTCTTGTCAGACTAATCTCAAAAAGCATCTCGAAAACTAAAGGACTGCTAAGGGCAGCCTCACCTTTCGGGAAGAACTAATAGCTATGGCTTGCCACCTCTGCCCTCCACATGTGAAATGTTTAAAATATTTGGCAGGAATTTTTCTTCCCACATTTGGCCAGGTTTATTCAGTGAACCCAAAGTGAGGTAATCTACAGCAATTCAGGTTCAGCAAAGGTTGGAAAAATATTAGAACAAACATAAAGCCTTGCTGGAAAGCTTCTTTGATCTTCTGATTATCCAATGCACAGTTTCTAATTGAACAAATTTTTAGTGGCAAAACATAATATCTAAACATTCCTCTTTTGTCATAACAGTTTAACCTCTTAAGAATGTGATTTTAAAGCAAGGAGGAAAAAAAGGTTATAACAAGACCAGTAGAGAAAAGAATTCAGGATCAGAGACCTAGGTTTTGGAGGGAAAATAGTAGGACTCATCAAATTAAACAACTAAATGCTTATGTGGATTGGCAATATCAAGTCATACACAGGTCAAGTTTTATCAAATTTGTATGGGCTTTGGAGAATTGTACAATAGATGATATAAAAAGAACTTTCATTCTGAAACCCTTTTCAGCTGGTATTTCAAATCTGCTGGTATAGCATGGCAAGATAAATAATGTCTATTGCAATAACATGATTTCATTGTAATTACAATTTGCTTAATTCATAAGAATCAGAAAAATACTTTGATAGGCATTTAGCAAAAACATCTCCCCCTAGCTTAGCACTCTTCAAATATGATGAATGGAATTCCAAAATTCCCAGCCACTTCCATAAATCTGCAAGTTGGAAAGCTGGGGAAAGCTGTTCTGAAAGATTGCAAAAGAAATTAAAGAAATTAAATTAAAATGAATCTTATTTTTAAAAGGTCCACACTGTATTATTTATATCTGCAACGTGGATACATAATGTAATAACAGTGATAGATAACAGAAACAACTCATTATATACAGAGAAGAAATTCTAAAAATCTTAATGGGTTTAACCCATTAACCTGAATTTTCAGACATGATCAAAATATGACTATCTTTTATATATCTATATCTATATCTATATCTATATCTATATCTATATCTATATCTATCTATATCATCTATCTATCTATCTATCTATCTATCTATCTATCTATCTATCTATCTATCTATTATGCTACTTAGGAGACTGTTTCGGTATTAATACCAAAGTGTCTTTGTGTAGTGTTTTTCATAGTGATTTAGGAACCACAGAGTGTTTCGACTTCCAATTTCGTAATTACTTTGTGGGAATGGGACACTCTCTAGAATGGTCTCTTCCCAGAGATTGATGGGCTGATGGACTATACTTAATTGAAACCCATAATTCTTTACCTCAAGACATGGCATTGGCCATTTACTTGGATAGTTTTAAAGGGTGATTGAAGAATTTCATGGAGAGCAGGTCTATCAGCCTTGAAGACTAAACATGATTGCGGCAACTTCCAATAATAGCCCAGAGACATCTGGTTGGTCTTCCCTGTGAGAAACAGAATGCTGGATAAATGCTTTGCTAGATCCATTTCAGTTATTCTGATATTCTTGCTACAAATTTGCTGAGGACTATTGAAAAGCCTGAGTGATATTCCTAATGCCAGTTTCTTTTCCTGCTTTGTGGAAACTTGAATTTCTACACTCTGCTCCTCCTCTAATTTGACAAATTGGTCACTAGATAAACCAGGCTGGGCTAAATAGGAAACTTGCTGATTCAGGCTTAGTAAACATCATAGAGCAGGTCATAAAGTAATATAATAAATGGTAGACTAGCATCCCAATTTTAATTCTATTTTCAGTTAAGCTTCGGTAAAGCAATGCTTCAGATTGTAAGGTAAACTAATGTAGTATGGAAGAGTACAGAAAAAAGTGGGAGGGTTATCTGAAATTCTGGCAAATGGCATTTATGGAATTCAATATTAAAACATTGCAATAGTTTGCTGAAATGTATGTTTTAATCATGTATGTATGGATACACATTGGATATAGACTGGGATTGTCTTTGAGGATGAGTGAGAATCTGAAATAGAGATATGATTCCCTCAGAAATCTGTACAGATATTTATTACACTGTAATGGAATTTCCAGAAGAAATGTCACTGCATTAATGGAGAATTCCTCAAGGAATCCTGAAATAACATGGGAAAAAGGCTAGAAATTGCAGTTAGCTTTGACTTTCGCTCCTGTTCATTCCACCACCAAACCTGAAATCCAGAATGCCTCAGTACATTGCAGATAATGACAAGAAGCCAATTTCACTTTAAATGGGAGTTGACCATACTGAATCAATCTTTAGCAAGCTTTTGATTTTGGACTTTGTTCCACTTCTTTTATTTTCAAACAGAAACTCTTTTGCCATCTCAGAATTTCTGGGACTACAGCTGTGTAATCGCCCGCTCTATTTACCTGGAAGTTGGTCCTGTTGAGTTCAGTGAAGCTAACTTCCCCGAGTAAAGGCCACAAGGCTCATTTCCAAAGGATCGTGCAGCACCTGTGGTTGGAAATAACCTGAGCTTTTTAAATCTCCGTGAGAAAAAATGTATTTCCCTGAATCCACTTCAAGACGTGATCGGAGTTTAGAATTTTAACCACAAAATGGTTCACAAAACCTTTCTTGGGATGCTTAATATGCAAATATTAAACCTGCAAGCGTCTAATCTCCTTTTGAATCAAAGCACAATCAAAGGAGAGAATAAAGGCGATCAACATGGATGAGAGAACATTTAAGTGGAGGTAAGCTACAAACACACACACAAAATCTGACCCAAAGCTTTCCAAATGGTGCCAACACAGCTGTTTTTGCAGTCAGCCAAATGACTACCTTCTGCTGCCAGAGAGAACATTAGGGAAAGCAGTTCAAGCGCTGGGTCTTGCAATTACTCAGCTACAGTTCCAGATCTATTGTTTCCATTTTTTTAAGGCTATTCTTTCTGGAACAGATGTTTTGTTTCTGAATTATCAGCATGGTACTATCTCTGGAATATTAATGACTGCCAACAGAAAAAGCAAACGGCTTGCTCTTTTTTCTCTGCCAGAGTCCCTTTACTGCATCCTCTGCCAACATCGTTGGCTGTTCTCAGTTTCATTCCACTGGATTATTCACTCTTCTTCATCTCCCCATGTAAAGCCTTTTCCTGATTCCACCCACCCACTCACCTCTCAAGAGAGGGGTTACTTGCATCCAGGCATGCCTGGACATGAGAAGCTATTCCTTCCATATCAGCATATATAATCTTTTAACCCTATCACCCTATCAGCTTCCTATATTACATTTGTACATGCATGTACCTAATACAGCTAACAGTGCACTAGAGGAGGAAGATCAGTTATACTGATTTAGGAAGTAGAAATGGCTTTAAAAGTTTCCATGCTCAACACAAAATTCTGAAGAACACATTTCTGAGAGCCATTGAGGTTGGGATCCTTTCTTTTGGGTCACTCAGCATGGACTGAAGTGCAAACATTCAGTGCTGTATACCCAGTAGAATGCTACCTCACTGTCTGGTTAGTGATCCTCTTGAGGTGTGAGAGGGGAAGAGGGAAAGAGTTCTGATGAAACTTTAAATTTTCTACCTTTCTTTTCAAAAAGGGTTCTCAACATTTTAGTAAGATGATACACAGAGTAATTGTCCCCACTATGAGGCTCCATGTTCTAATATGATAGGCCTTTCCCACTCCTGAATTCCTCCATTGCCAGAAATGCCAAGAAACAGATTAACAACTAAATAGATATAGTTCCTTTTGGCTTGGGAGAATAAACCCCAGAACTGAATCTATTCCAGCACTTTGTGTTTCTGTAAGCAAGCAATCTAATTATAAAGGAAGTTAATGCCAACATTAGTCTAGTTACCAAGAATCCAAGTATATCAAATGCCACCAAGTGTTCTCTTTCAAGTAGATTTCTTGTTTATTTAAATTTTCAATCCATTCCATTTTGAAAGTTTAGAGTAGTTAATGTAACAAATTTAAATAAAATATGGGAATCTTTGAAATGAATGAAAACTGGACTTAAGTGCGTTTTTAAAGCTGTTACTTTCAATGCTATTAAACTAACATAGAGAAAAAACTAGTGTGTGTGGAGTAATTAAAAAACAGGGACATTCTCATTTTTAAAAAATAAACACTGATCTGCTCCCAATTTTCAGTTCACCAGAAAAAAGAGTTTATAGCCCATCTCAAAAGATCTCAATAAGCAATTACGTTTTTAGCATATTACAAATGTTACGAGATAAGGGGCTTGTAATATGTCTCACATGTAATCTTCATCTACAATCTGCCTTTTCCATCACCTCATCCCAATTTAAATCTACACCACTCTAACCATTCTACAGTATGGGATGGCTCCTATTCACAAATCTTATCCTTTTAATAAAATGAGTTAGCTAGAAAAGATGCTACCAAAATGATTTTTACCATGGTAGACTAACGTGGTCTCCTCCTGCATAATAAGTCTTAATTATCTTTGTGAAATAGTGTAGGAAGTTAGCACCCACCCCTTTCCGGGAAGAATGAAATATTTTAGGAAATATTAAAAAGGCAGAATATTATCTTTCCCTGGATGAGAAATGGAGAAACATGTTTTAAAGACAAAGCAGCTTCCTGCCCCCCCCCCACACCTTTGTTAATGGGCCAGAGGCAGAAACTCAATCCTTTGTCAATGGAGCATCGTCTGCAACACAGTAGGACCCATCTAGGACAGAAACTCACCACATGGCACCTGGGAAGATTACATCAGACAGCAAGGCTAGCTAAGACCCCCACCCCCTGGGAGTCTGACAACCAATCAGGATACTCTTTTGTGGCCCCAGGAAGTTCAAAGCCAGAGAGAGCATAAAACCTGGGGACTCGCTGTATCTCACCCCTTTTCTGTTCAGGAACTCAAACCATATGATCCTGTCCACCATTAAACCATCTTTCCAAGCAGTCTCCATGTTTCCAGTGTCTTTTTCCCCACTTGGAGCTGAACCCAGAAGGATATTTCTTCCTACAATAGGGGGAAAAAAAATCATATTATAGACTTTTAAATAGCACTTCCACAATGCAGGACTGCAAGAAGCAGCTAAAAACACTCTGGAAGGGAACTTTCACCCATTTCTGAATTACAACTCACAAGATTCTTCGTGAAAAGCATTATAGTTAACATTTACTGTAGGTCTCTCATCCAAACACTAGCCAGGTCAATCTAACTTAGCTTTCCAAAATCAGCCTTCATCCTAAAAGAAAACCTTTTAAAGCAAACAAAAAGCCGAAGAGTTGCAGCTTTCCAAATTGCTTTCCAGAGAATTTCTGGTTAACTTTGCTCTGCACCCTTGCCAAGAAAAATGAAACTAGCTGCAACCGTCCAACAGCTACTGGATGAGAAAGCTTTGTATATAGTTTATTTTCGAAGAGGTAGCTAGCAAATGCCAGACTACAGTGCAGCAAGAAAATGCAGTGACCAAGAGAGAAGAGAGCAGATAAACTCTTCTACAAAGCCAAATGCTTCTTTCTTCTGAAACTGAAAATAAAGTGCTGCTTGTTGGCAGAAATGTTTTTAATAAGTTTAAGATCAGCTCAACCTCATACCCGGTGAGACAAACTAATTGTGGCTTGTGCTTCCAAGAAAAGGGAGTTTTTTTAACAGCATTAGCAAATCTCACACAGCTGTATATAGCTGGAGAACAGATGCTGCAATAAGAGTTCAGAATTTCTGGTATATGGAGCCCTTGACCCTAGAAAAATCTCTTGTTGGAATATACAGATATGCCTTCTTCAGCACATCTGTGTCAGCATGCCTGACTACTATCTGTTTTAAACCACCATCAGAAAAACTTCATTTTGGGTGGGCAGCATAAAAAATTAAAAATAAATTAGTATGATATACACCTCTCCTTTTGGAAGGAGAATGATCATAAAGCAATGGCCACTTTGTCAACTAGTTTTTGATTATATGCATCATAAGCAAAATCTTCCATACCCTGAATATAGATAGGATCAATATAGTCATTATTAAGAATTATGCAATACTTACAGTTTATGTCCAGGCATATTTATTTAAAAATGCGTTCCATACCTCTGTTGTATTAACAAAGTTGGAAAAAGAAGTGTTGCACTTATTTCCAGAAACAGAAAGAAGGTATATAAATCTCCTGGATGATGAGAGTATTGTAAGGTGACGACGAAGTTCAAATGTGCATTGAACCCTGAAAAACCCTAATTGTTAGTAATGTTTAGAAATAAAGCATCCTTGCATCACCATCAAAATGTGGGGTGTGACATCCTACACACAAATCAACAGAAGAAGTGAGTGAGGCAGAATGATATTTTGGATCCATTTAAATCCTTAGACTTGAATTGAGAAAGAGGGATTCCCATTCTTATATAGAACATTTAAAAGAACATTTAAACTGACCTTTATTTAAAAGGCAATTTTACTTGAGTCAAACACTCCTTTCTAATGATTACGTGTCTATGTGGTTTCATGGTAACACTAATGAAATGGTGTGTCATTGCCTTCTTTCAGGAAGATGTTTTTTTAAACTTTTCAAATCCATTTCTGATTTTCCTTAGTAATCTTCCCTCCAAGTATTCATTAGTCCGAAGGAGCTTAGTATTCCAAAATCAACTATCATCATCTAGCTACTCACCATGTATCATTCATTTACTACTCTTTATAATCTAACAGATCTCTACTGAAATCTTTCAGGGGGAAATTGTCACATGATTTCAACTTGTGAGTTACTTTCAATTAAGTTAGTCATGACTCACACTGACAGTTACATAATAGATAGATGCAACATACATCCAGCAACATGTACTAGTCTGAAAAAGAATGAATTCTGCATTGAGTGACTAGCTAATACTGCCAAAGTCATTGATAAATCTGCTGGCATGCTCATGCTGCTATCTCTTCTTTACAATACAAAATTTTCAATGAGCACCTTAAAGGCACTGACCTAGAAACTGGGAGTTAATCCAGTTGGAGGAGGCAAGTCATTCTCTCTCAGCTCAAGAAAAATGGAAGAGCAAACTGCTTCTGAAAAACATTGCCAAGAAAACTGCATAGACTTATCCATGTAGTATAGTAGTGGGTTCCATTTACCTTCGCTATTGGTTTGGAATCAGGAGCGTGCCTTCTGCTCATGCACAGAGCATCCGTGATGATGTCAGGGTGGGTGGGCGGAGCTTCCCACCGCCACCACTTCCGGTTTGCCTGAACTGGGGTAAACCGGTAGAAACCCACCATTGATGTGGTCACTAGGAATCAAGACTAACTCAAAGTCATATACACACAAACACACTATCTGGTGTGTTTCCAGCCTTTTTTTTTAATACCTTGGTAAATTCTCCCAGTTTATGGTTTACAATCCCTATTGTATTTAGTTTTGTTGGTGACATTAAAACAGATTACTTTCTTTTCTATTCTTTCCCTCCTTTGCACCTTCCTCTGTCCTTATCCCAATCTTGGGATATTTCAATGAAAATATTTAAATAAACATATTGAAAATCTGTGCGCCAGCATTGTTTTTTAATTGACAGATTTCTGCCTCTGAGCAAAATGATAGGGAAAGATGATTAACTTGGGGTTTTAATCCCACTTGATTGAAAAGATTCCACATAAACTCAGCACCTTGGATGACCTTCAGGCTGTCAAATCTACAACATTCTCTCAAGTTGTGTTCTAACATTTTTATTTTAAGTGAAAGTCTAAGCTTTCAATGAGATTTGTTGTGGCCCGCCAGCGGCCTTCACAGATCATGGCTGATCCTGACAAGGAGGAGGCTGGTGTGGGGTCACGCCAGCAGCCTGCGCAGCCGGCGCTTGCGTCGGACAGCGAGGAGGCTGGAGAGGATGTGGTGCCAGAGGCAGAGACTCAGCCAGGGCCTTCAGAACCTCCAGAGGCTCCTTCAAGTGAAGGGAGCAAAGTGGAGGAGCCTCTCCTCAATGCTCGAGCACGCAGGGCTGCCAAAAGGCAGGAGTGGCGACTCAGGAGGAGAAAGTCTCCTTGAGAGTAAGGTTTGAGGATAATTGGCCACTCCCTTAGCCTATTTAAGTCGCACGCAGTTAGTAATATCTTGCTGGAAACAACGTGTAATCATTAAAGAGCATTTTTGAAGAGTGAGTGTCTTATTGTATCTTGTTGTCTGGGCTGGTTGCCAACCTTTGCTGGACTTCGTTTATTCTTGGTACATTATAACTTTGATAAAGACCATTGGTGTGTGTCACAATCCTTGGGAATCCGGAGCTTGGCAGAACAAGATTCTTTGAAAAATCCCTTTGTTCATCTCACTATCATCACTATTTTGATCTCCAAACTTCTGTTAAGCAATCACATTAATACCCTCCTAGAAATGGCAAACAGCTACCACGTTTTAAGCTTCATAGCCACATAGAAGGAGTAAAATAATGGAACAGATGCAGGTGAACAATGATAATGTATGTTTAAAGATCTAGGTCAAAAGCAAAATCTAGCAAAATGCCAAAATCTGCAATTCTGCCTTTTCTCCCCTGACATTGTGAATATCTGCTAAACATTTTTTAAAACATATAGTAATTTATGCTTAAAAATAGCTATTATTTACCCATAAACCTTGCTTGATTGCTGTCACTTTTTTGGTGGAATATTTGGCAATGTTTCACTTAAATAAAATGAACAGAAGAAACAATCGGTCCTGTCTTTTGAGGAAAGTTAGTGCCCACCCCGCTCCTAGAAGAAGGAAATATTTTAGGAAATACTAAAAAGGGCTAATGTTGTATTTCCCTAGATGAGAAAAGGAGAAACATGCTCTTGGAAAGCAGCCCCCACATTTGTTAATAGCCCCAGAAAGACTGGATCATCTTATCTACAAGACAAAAGGCCTTCAGCTCCAAGGTGATAGGATTAGCCTTCACTCAAGATCCAAACCAGGACAAAGCCATTAAGCCATAATAGGAATTGCCCAACACCCTTTCAGAACACAAGCCTCTTCATTACATCATCACCCAGCAAGATTCAACCAAGCCTGGGACACAGACAGCCTACAAGGTTAATTGGACCCCTGCATAGCCCCCTGGGAGTTTGACAACCAATAGGATACCTGCCCTTGCCACAGGAAGCTGAAAGGCAAGGCCCAAGAGAGTGTATAATAAGGTGACCAGACGTCCCGCTTTTGGCGGGACAGTCCCGCTTTTTAGCAATTTGTCCCGCGTCCCGCGGCGTTTCAAAAAAGTCCCGATTTTTCATTCTGCCTCCTCAGTCCCGCTGCCTCTTGAGCCCCAGCTGATGGCTAGAAGAAAAAAAAACTGTTTAAACTCTTGCCCGGGGCTTCAAAGGGCCGCCCTACAGGCAATCAGTGTAAAGCAGTTTTTCCCCCCCTAGCTAAGCTGCAGAAACGAAACCGAAACCAGGATCTTTGGTGCAACGTGACAAAATGAGGCAGAGAGAGATTTATTTTTATTTTTATTTTTCCTCCCCAAAAAAGGTAGGTGAAAAACTGCAAACAATGGGAAATTTAGGAGGAGAGTTCAAGATTTTAAAACACAAAAGAAAAAAAAAGCTGTATTTAACTAGGGAATTGTAATAATTGAATTGAGATACTATTAATTGTATATTGTGTTGAAAGCAGAAATGTTTAAGTTGTGGTTCAGAGGAATATATGGGGGAAATTATTTGGTTTATTATTATTGGTAAATATAATTAATTGATTTGTAAGAAATTGGATTGCATGGAAATAATTGGAATATTCATGTTCATATTGATTAATATACAAAAAAGATAGTTTTATAACTAATTGATTTATATTAAAATGTTGAATTTGTATTAAACAACTGTATTACATAATTACATAATTAAACAATGTGAGGATGGATATAAAAATAGATGACAATGGAAAGGGGTATAATATAGAATAGAAGGGAAAAATTGAATTTGATTAAGATTAGAGATGAGGATGAAGGGTAATATTGGTTTTTTTAAAAAAATAGATGAGGAATAAATATGGCAAAAAGGAAATATAGAAATTGTAAATTTAATTGAAGTGACTAAACACTGTTTAAATTTGTGAACCGGCCAAATACTCTGTTCAAAGAAAATAAATTGTATGTTTGTATGTGTGTTTCTAATTACTGCTATTTATTCATATTTGTTCTCTTTTATTCTTTAAAGTTCACCATTCATTCTTTATCTTAATATCTTTATATTTGTTTGGGGTTGGCTTTCTTCCCTTTCATCTTTTTTATTGTACAGCAATCTTTCTCCTCAAACCTACCACCTCTCTCTTTTCTTTCCTTCTTACTTTCTCTTCCCCACCTCTTCTTCTCCTCCCTACTTCCTCTTCCTTTCTCCTTCTCCTCTCTTCCTCCCCCTCTTACCCTCACTCCTACTCTAATTTCCATTCCTTCATCCCTCTCTATTGCTGTAATCCTTTTATGCATATGGACTATTCAGAGGGCTGAAAAAGTTATTTTTGACTGGTCCTCGCACTTTTGACCAGTCATAGAACTTACGACTGTCTTCACATTTTATGTTTTTTGCCCTATCTTATCACCATGGTGAAGAGAAGCAGTTGTGAAATGAGTGACATGGTTGTTAAGGATGCTGCATGGGCATAAATGTGAGGATGGTCATAAGTGTGAGGACCAGTCAAAAGTGCGAGGACCTGTCAGAAATGATTTTTTCAGCCCTCTGGTTAGTCCTTTTGTGCATATGGACTATTCAGAGGGCTGAAAAAGTTATTTTTGACTGGTCCTCACACTTTTGACCAGTCCTCGAACTTATGACTGTCCTCACATTTTACGTTTTTGCCCTATCTTGTCACCATGGTGAAGAGAAGCAGTTGTGAAATGAGTGACATGGTTGTTAAGAATACTGCACGGGCATAAATGTGAGGATGGTCATAAGTGTGAGGACCAGTCAAAAGTGTGAGGACCTGTCAGAACCTCTGAGTAGTCCCTATACACATAGCCATGGCCACCCGGTCACATGACCAGCTAGCCACGCCCACCCAGTCACATGGCCTCCAAGCCACGCCCACACAATAAGTCACGCCCACAATGGTGTCCTTCTTACCAATGTTAAAATCTGTTCACCTTACCCTATACACATAGCCATGGCCACCCGGTCACATGACCAGCTAGCCACGCCCACCCAGTCACATGACCAGCTAGCCACGCCCACAAAATAAGCCACGCCCACAATGTCCCTCTTTACCAATGTTAAAATCTGG